ATATTTGCCCCCCCTTACCAGAGTAATTAACATTAAAATATCACAACAAGAGGTTCTGCAAGCAGAACATCAGAAACTCTGAATTTAATCTGGATCAAACACAGCTGAAGACTGCTGCTTGTCCCCAACAGAACCAAAGACGGGGACGAGATGCGTCCAATTTCTGGTTTTGAAGCAGATTAGAGTATCTCAGGATGGAGGCCCACCTGGACTAGCATGTCTCTGGCCTCTTTGGTGAGCCAGTTGGGGTAGTAGGGAGTGTCGGTCCGGATGGATTGGAACAGCTCCTCTTCATCGCGGCCGTGGAATGGAGACTGACCGATCAGCATCTCGTAGAGCAGAACCCCAAAGGACCACCAGTCCACGGAGCTGTTGTACTTCTGACCCAGCAGGATCTGTTTGCGCCGGAGATAATCATCAACAAACCATTTCAACCTGAAGACTACAGAAGATCTCAGCATGTTTGGTCACCTCAGGAGCGATGTAGTCCGGGGTTCCGCAGAACGTGGAGGTGCGGGATTCCTCCTGCATGTTCTCCTTGCACATCCCAAAGTCTGCTATCTTTATGTGGCCGTCCGAGTCCAGCAGCACGTTGTCCAGCTTCAGGTCTCTGCAGAGGAGCAGAGCAAGCCGTCAGGGCGCCGTTCCTCCCAGTTGGTCTCCCAAAGCTCCCAGATCACCTACCTGTAGATGATTCCCTTAGAGTGAAGGAACTGGAGGCCACAGACGATCTCGGCAGCATAGAACCTGTACGACACAGAGAAGCTTGCATTAAATCCACCTCCTGCTCAGAACGTATTCACGCCTGATTAATCATATTGTCTAAAAGTTCCAGATCATCAAACTAATATTAGTGAAGCTGAGGAGAGATGCAGGTTCTGGTGATGAATCCCTAAACCGCCAGTTACTGAACCCAGTAGCTGGTGGTTCTGATACCGTGGAGAAATACTGACCCAAACTAACTTCAGCCTGTGGAAGGTCAAAGCGTCTTTAAGTCTGGGTTCTTTGAGGCTTTCCCTGCCTCCTTTTTGAAACGTCAGGATCTGACCCAGCATGGATAAAGACAGGGAGGACTGATTCTTCACATTTTTTAGGAAAGGCGAAAAAAATGAACAATCTGGGATTTACATGGTGTTAGGTTTATTCTTTATACATCATGTGCATTGCTACTTTTTTAGCCAGATTAGACAGAGCAGAAGGCCTTCCTTCACATTGTGGATGTCACTGTGTGTATTGAGGTCATCTAAATAGGAAAGCCTTCTTATGGACAGATAAGCATCCACCTGATGCAACACATAGACTCATGAGCTATAAGAAGGAGAAGATGACCTTGTTCTGGGCTCAATCTTTGCCGGACGCTCGCGGAGGTGATTTTTGAGCCCACAGCTGTGCTAGCTCCAAGCATTTTCTCTGTCCTGTAACGACCTGATTTGAAATAAACTCTGTTACTTTTTTTACTCCTGTTTTAAAGTCCTTTTTATATGGTTTTACCCAGTTTGAGTTAAGAGTAGTAAATAACTTGCTCCCAGGAAAAGAACAGGTGGGGAAGCCCCGAGGCGCAGCGGCCTTTTTAGGGGACATAACTTCCTCATTTAACAATGGAAAAAATATAATATAGTGTACTTTTTCTAGGTGTTTGGTAATTTCCGTAGTTGCTGTTAAATAAACACATTCTCAGAAAATAAATAGTTTTTATATATTAAAGCTTACTATATATACCTTTATTAGTGAGCTTTAATGACTGACTTCTCCATTATTAAACTGGTACATTATTTTTGCAAAACAGCTTTGCCTTCACAAAGCCTCAGAAGGGCAACACTTATGTACATAAGGTAAACCTGTTCATGAATTTGTTTTGTTTATATAGTGTTTTTATAATGTTGTTTTTTGTTATTGGCATTAATTAAAATATACTTGTTTGATAACTTAGTATATGTTATAATTAGGGATGCATGATATAACCGGCCCCCTATCGGTATCGGC